AAATCGCCTCACTAGGGTTTGGATAAGTTGCTGGATTCGGTTTTGCATTAAAGCATTTTGGGAGGATAGAAGCTTGGAGGCTAAGTTTTTTTGTATTGTTGGTTTGGAAAAAAGTGGGAAGTCCCTGATTAATTTGACTTGGGGAAGCTGTGATCTGTTGGACTTTCTTTCTTCAGTTGTGTTCGAGACTGGGGAAGAGAGGTGTGGGATAAGGAGGATAATGTGTATACTCTGCGTGATTCAGAAGTGGTCGAGGAGGATTGCTACCATGTTGCCATGGCTAGTGATTCCACTTATTGCTCTGTGGGCCCTGTCTCAGCTCCTGCCGCCCGCGTTCCGGTTTGAAATCACGTCTCCGAGGCTTGCCTGTGTACTAGTTCTGTTGGTGACCCTCATCTGGTATGAGGTTCTAATGCCTCAGCTGTCGGCATGGAGGATCAGGAGGAATGCTAGGCTTAGGGAGAGGAAGAGGTTCGAGGCTATTGAGATGCAGAAACTGAAGAAGACCGCCACTCGAAGGTGTAGGAATTGTCTGACCGCGTATCGGGATCAGAATCCTGGTGGGGGAAAGTTTATGTGCTCCTACTGCGGCCATATATCAAAAAGGCCAGTCCTGGACTTGCCTCTGCCTGGTGGGATGGGCAATTCGGGGATTCTGAAAGATCTAGTGGGTAAAGGGGGGAAGATATTGAACGGCAAGGCTTGGTCCGACAATGGGTGGATGTGTGGGCAGGACTGGCTAGAGAACGGGAATTTGGGCGGAGGTCCTTTTGCTGTGAAATCGAGTTATTGGAAGAACGGCGGGGGTTTATTCAGTGGGGACGATGACCATTGTCTGGCGGAGAAGTCTTATTCTCGTGTTATTATTTTTGCCTGCAGGGCACTAACAGCAGTTTTCTTGAGTGTCGTGTGGGTTTGGAGAAAGATTTTTAGGGTTAGTTCCTCCAGAAATGATGCTTCAGTCGATGCAGATCGGCGAGGAATGTTGGATAATAGAGGCGAGAGTGGCGGGAGTGGTCAGGAGAGTAGAGGGGAGAAAGCGCGTAGGAAAGCTGAGGAGAAGAGGCAGGCTAGATTAGAGAAGGAGCTATTGGAGGAGGAGGAGAGAAAGCAAAGAGAGGAGGTTGCAAGGTTAGTTGAAGAAAGGAGGAGGCTACGGGATGAAAAAATGGAGGCTGGAAAAGATCGTGGAAAGGATGGCTCTCCTCGGGCAAAGGCAAGAGATAGCAAAAAGGAAGCTGAAAGGAAGCGTCAAGAGAGGAAGAAGGAGAGAGATAAGGGGTCGAGTAAGAGCAACTCTGATGTTGAGGAGTTGGAAAAGAGAGCAGGCAAACAAAATTATAAGAATGAAAGGGAGCAACACAACAGTACACCTGATAGCTTGAGAACTCATGGCACTGATGTTGGGCATGTGTTTAAGGGTGCTGGTGCAGGCATTCATAGCCGAGGGAATGCTGGGACGAGATACTTTGATAGGATGAGGGGCACTTTTCTATCTTCTTCTAGGGCATTCACTGGAGGTGGTTTCTTTGGAAAGGGTACGAATACTTCTGCTGCTTCTAGAGATCACAAACCCAGCGGATTGGTAGGAAACGGTCAACCTTCGGCATATAGGAAAGAAATACCAGACCGAGTTTCTGGGCTGTCAACAGGAAGTGGAGATGATAAGAGTCCTATCCGCCCCGTAAGTTGTTTAATTTGAATGTGTTGGAATTCGCCAATCATGAGTGGAGAGCTTTAACCATCTCTCTCTTGTTTGAGACAAATTGTAAAAAGAATTTTCCCTTTCTTCTTTTTGTTTACTTTACCTTATTTGTTATTGGGAGTGTGTGGGGTACGGTGAGTGGTTTGGGGGAAATTTATTAGCAACTTATCATTGATTGGTGTATGTTGACATTAGTTAGTCCTGTTGATGTTGACCATTACCGAATATTCATATAGCTACAGCTCCTGAATCTAATAAATTTGGAGACTACAAGTGCAACTTGATTCATGAGTTTGTCATGTTTGGTCTTATTGAAAGAGTTGTTATAGAATCACCATAGGGTTACAGTTTTGCTTATGTTTGCTCCATTTGCCTGAAATACACATTAATGCTAAGTCTTCTACTGCAGGTATTCATTGAACCTCAACCAAGTACTGCTCCTAAAAAATCATGGCAGCAATTATTTACACGTTCTTCTGCTGGTTCTCCACCACCCTCAAGTCCTAATGTCATAAGCAGACCAACAGGGAACCACAAAGCAGAAGTTCATGACCAGCCCGCATCTGGCCATCCCAACTCGACACAATCATCTGAAAACCCTATTAATTTTGGTCTGGCAAATCCATTTAGTTTACCTGCGATTCCTTTTGTATCAAATAGTGGCAGCAGTTCTATTCCCCCAGCATCCTCTGGTGCCATGCTTCTTAATATGGTAGATTCCCCACACCAGCTTTTACCAGAGGAGTTGGAGATTTTTGAAGACCCTTGTTATGTTCCGGACCCTATATCCTTGCTTGGGCCTGTTTCTGAATCGCTTGATAACTTTCAGCTGGATCGGGGTTTTGCAACTGATCCTAGATTGGACAAACCAGGTGCTGTGAAGACTAAAGCCGCACCTTCTTTGGTTACCAAGCCATCACCGATCGAGTCTCCATTGTCACGATCACGTGTGTCTGAGGAACGGCATGTGAGTTCTCTTTTTTTCCCGGAGGGTCAGGATTGTAATTCCAAGAACACAAATGACAATGGCACATGGCAGATGTGGAATAGCTGTCCCCTTGGTCAAGATGGTCTTGGTATAGTTGGTGGGCCCGTCATCGGCTGGCATCTGTATCCAGAGATGAACTTGCCCAAAAAGGAAGACAATATCCATCCAGTCCCTCGTAAAACGATGGCGTCCCTGTTCAAGAAAGATGAGCAATCCGTACCTAGCGGTCAGAATGTTTTGTTTGGACATGCTCCAAATTGTGGAGCATTTAATACATCTTTGCCTTCTAATGTTGATGATCCATGGTTACCGAGAACTTTATTTGGGCCGAGTATGGGTCTGGAAAATCATATTCTGCAGAAACCTAAGGAGGGTGCTCTTCAGAATGGCCTTATATATGGAAATCCCAGAGGTCCTGCAGTTAACCAACAATTTGACCTGTCTGCTGCGGATTGTTGGCCTAAGTAAGTACATCTTGATGAGTTATATTCTATGTTTCTCCCTCTTTGTTTCTGTTGCCAGGTAAAGGTTTAAATGACACTACATCATAATGTATTGAAGTACCCATGTAAAATAGTTTCAATATGTTTAAAGTTTTAGTTTTGTGGCATTGTATTATGTATATACTATATAGGCATAATGATTGCCTCTAACAACACTGCTGTTATGAAAATTGCAAACCGAACACAATATTGATGTATGGTAAACTTGATGGCTCATTGTTAAAATGATGTTTCTTCTGCATAATTAGTACAAACATAGCTTGAAATTCATCTGAGGCCAGGCACAGAGTAACTTCATTTTCTAAGGTGGTAGTGTTGATCTATTTTAAATATTTTGCAGCTCTGAACTTAGTCAGTTCTACAGGAATTATCGGTTGGACATTTACATGTTGGTCTTAGACACTCAAGTTAGAAAACGACAAGTGACATTACGTGATCATAGATATATTTGTCACACCAATGTTGCAAAATGAAAATACGATTTTTCCTTTTGCTTTAGAACTGTATTGATACGAACTATTTAAGATCACCGTTAGGATATCAGCTCTAATACAGTGAATTTCATCATGAATGCTCAGTATCACTAACCAAACCCTTGAAAATTATATAATGATCAACCTCTTGTCAAATTGTGCTATGGAAAGAAATGGCCATAAGATTGACATGAATAATTAGTAAATCATATCTTACTGGCTTTATCAAGTGCCGTGCTGTAATACTCTTTTTAGCTTTCTAGTTTTTATACTTTCATGTGCTACAATCAAGTGCTTCCTTGTTCGAAACTCGTTTAGCTTTCTAGTTTTTATACTTTCATGTGCTACAATCAAGTGCTTCCTTGTTCGAAACTCGTATTTCATGTCATTTTTCTTTTGCAGAAAAGACTGGACCGTGCAGGGTTCACAAGATGGTGTTGGGAACTCTCCGGCCATTAGGCCCCACATTGGAGGCTTGTACACCCCTCCAGATGTACAGTCTCTTTGGTGATAAAATATTATTATTAGATAGAAGGGAGAAAA